TCGGACTGTCGCTTCCGGGACGTAACGCCGCGGCCTCTGTTTCAAGCCAGCTGAATCCAGCCGCCCTTTCACACCTGAATTATTTAACACTATCTTTCAATGTACCCCGACGACGAATTTAGTCTGTTCCCCTGAAGTTTTATCCCTCTTGGGTACAAATATTTCCCTCGCCACCATTTTCTCGAAGACCCTCGATCAGTGACCTTCTCCTAAGCTGAGGGACCAATCCAAAACAGCGGGCAAATTATAGTTGTACATACGAGAAGAGCAACCCGTGTTTTTTAATCTTCGTCTCTTCTATGGAGTCCTTCTCTTTCTGAGTTTTTAAGTGAATTAATCTTCTCCCTCATACCTTCATGGCACCTCGTGGTCTTCCTTCTTGAAAATCCGATGTGGTTCCGAAGGATCACAGCAGGTTTCCGAGGATACGTCGTGTGCCACTGGCATGTGACGTCATAGTGCAGAGGTAACATTCCGAATTAGGACTCGTCTAATTAATTAATTTAATAATGGAGATGTGTGGGCGAGGTACGGCGCGCTGCAGCCATCATCTTACGACCCGCGCGCTTGAGAGTTTCATTAAGAAACTCGAGTTACCGGCAGTTTGCATAATTTTACTGACGGCTTGTTTGCTGTTTAAAGCTTCCGCCAGAACAAGAATAAATAAAGAAAACCGGTAATGTCCACAAGATGACAGCACCTGTCTTCCTGTTCTTCTGGTTCAACTGAAATGACAACATCGCCGTCACGTCAGGGCTGTCCAAGTTCATGAGTCGTCTGCCTCATGCGTCAGATGTGCAAGGCAGTAGTTACTAGCCTCTGGATAGGGGATCGGCCCATCGGAAGGCCCGTGCTTACGCTTGGCAGCCGGATTCCAGTCCGTGGTCCCTGTGTTCGAGCGGATGAAGACCGAAGTCCCGTCGGATTGTTCATCTTGTGCATTGTCTCGCGTCTTTCGCCTCAAAGCACACGAATTGGAGTACACTGGAGTATGTACGTCCCTGCCCGTCAGAATCGGTGTTTCTATTCGAGCCACGTAGAAAAGACCTTGTTTAATAATCCTCCGAAAACAGTATTGATCCAGAAGTAGTTTTAACGTGTTCTCTCTTTATTTTCACAAATACAAAATCCGTTCCGTGCATTTAAGGGAGAATTCCAATTTCAGAAAGCATTTGCTCCATCAGCCAATCAAACCACACTTGAATAACAAAACGATAGTCGACGACGGGGGTGGGGAGGAACTGTTCCAGCTTTACCGTACAAAATAAGGGTTCATTGTATTACATTCATTGGGGGTGAACGTTATTACGGGCGAACTCGGTAAGTCTATAGGATTTTTTACGCTAACTTTAAAACGTAGCAGATTTTCACAAAAAAAATAATGCCCGGGCGCTCTTAAGCCGGCCGTCTGACTCTGTCTGCCTCCAGCGAGAAGAGTCGAACCTCACGGCCGTTGCTGCTTCGCGGTTTTCCCGTGGTAAAGTAACATCGAAGTATGTATAACTGTTTTCTTGCTTTCACGCGTGATGGCTCTGAATGACGGACGAAAGGCACTTTGTAGAGAAAATAGAGTAAAAGATGGATTTTGCTGCATTTTGTAAGAAATCTGCGTAATAACAAGGGACCTCGTCTTTTTAAGTTCCTTTCATGTCCTTTTCTAACCCCTTCCCGCGTAAACAAAAGAGGATTTTATCAGTGTCGTATTTTTCGTTGTTGTCACGTGTGATTTCTATATTAAAATTGAATCGAAATTGGCCGGAAGTGTGATTGTTCCGAAACCAAAATGAATTCTTCATTTGACTGCGCGTGACTCCACATTGTTTGTTTAAAAGTCTGTGGTGTAAAATGCGCCAGGCCCGTGGTTTAAACTCCGGCTTGAGAATCGCAGTAATTTCTGGAAACTCTGTTTTATTGAAATGGCTAATACGCACCGTTACCAGTGGCTACGACGTAGTTTGCTGGCATGCCTGGGGGTGGGGTTACGTGGGGCCTTCCCTCCACTTCCCAAGACGCCGCGCTTGTAACGCGGGGCAACTTTGACTTTGCTTCGCCGATCTTCTGGACGTAAATCGGGGGTTAACATTGACAGTGAAATTGATGCATCGAAGCGGCTCGGAACGTGGAACAGTGCGGGCTGTTGTGAACACGGTGCTGAACTTCCTGGTTCCATCAGAAGCGGGAAACCTCATGAGCTACTCACCCACATGCCTACCAACCTAAAGAAATGCTGCGTCTGTTTTCAGGTGTTGGCATCGTGCTGATCACAGTGAGTGGGGTGGCGTGGAGGCTGACGGCACACGACGCACCTTCGTGCCGTATGATGCTCGGTATCGGGGGCAGCGACGAGGGTGGGGCAGAGCCCAACAGAAGGTTCGTCCCGCGACTGCCGCCATCCTACGGGCGACCTCACCATCCCTACGCCGGTAAGGAACGAACGACCTGTCACAACGTGTGTGACGTATGTGCACTGTGTACTCCAGAGCTGACGTGTTGCTCTGTTCGCTTGTGCAGCCATGATGTACCCCGAGTTCCAGTACCGCCCGCCTCCACCGTCGTACCAAGCCTCGATGCAAGACTACCGCCTGAGGCTGCTTCTGCTCGACCGGCATCCCAGCAGCATCTCCCCGGGTCAGGCCCCCGGTGGCCACGCCGTGTCCCCGCCGCCCACGTACCGTTCTCATGCTGGCAGCATGCTCAGGTGCGCGCTTACTTCTGGTCTCATTTCACTTGACGAACGAGAAAAGTTCCAAACACGTGAAGACTTCCGGTGATATGTATTACTCATTTCATCAGGGTTTGAGGTCCTCACGAAGATGGTTGTCTTCTGGGTTGTAACGCCCTGATGATGGACCTCTGAAACGCTGGTAAACGTCTCTACCGGACTACACGGCGCAACAACCCAGACGATATCCATCTAGGTAGTTAGAATGCTAAGCAGAGCGTTGTGTTTCGTGTTTAAGGGCGCCTCTGGGTGTAAGGAGAGATCAACCACAGTCAGAGTACAGCCGGCCGCCCAGCTATCGTTCTCGCACCAGCTCCACACGCCCGACGCTGGACCCGAACGGGAACACGGGGTCTTCCACTGCGGAACACAGCCGAGACCCGTCTCTGAGTCTGAGCGAGTCGGGCGGGGGGAGTGGCATCGTGAATGTGATAAGCGTGATGGGCAGTGGCGTATCAGAGCCAGAGCCCCTGGACGGCGTCAAGCTGGCTGGCCTGCCCTCCGACCAAGACGTCCCTCTGAGGCTGGTGCTGAACAAAGGCAGTTGTCGCAGCGGCGGGAACGTGAGCGGCTACGACAGCGAGGCGAAAGACCGGAACCTCGTGACGATCGTCCACACGGGCGACGATTCCAGCCCAGTCATCGTGACAGTGTCCGGTTCCGTGGTTGGTGGCAGCACAAGTCAGCAGCCGGCCACGGGCGTTGGTGATACCGAAATGGAGATATTGGCACATCTGTGATGATTTTGGTTTTGTGAAGCAACTGAGGCGTACAGCCTGTGGCCCGCGGTCCATATTGTGCACATGCGGAGGATTGTAGTTGCTGATTAGCTCTTTGAAACATTAAAATTTGTCTTTCGGTATTTTAGCACAGATGAAAGGCTCACATTTTTCCAGTTTTAATTAATTTTTGGATTGTAAACCAACGGGTGAATGAGATATGACAACCATTTTCACAGCCAGTTAATTGTTTTTGGAGAATTTGTAAAATTTGATTCCGCTGTATGTGTGAAGGAAAACCAAAGCCATGAAAGTTAACAATTTTGCAGCGTGCACATCCGTCAGGGCTAACTAAGTGCATAGATGCACTGATATGTTAAAGGCTGAGAAGTGCGCGCGCACTTTGTCCCCTTATCCTTACGCAGGTTTGCGCACTTACAGCCATCGCTCAAGTTGTGTGAGGACTGGACGGAAGACAGTCACGGTACCAGCTGAAACATTTCTCGATTAGATTTTTCAAACCCTCAGGAAATTTGAGATTTGAAGTTTTTGTGACTGTCAAGATGTCAGCAGTGTCTTCTGATATGGGGCAGAGTTTTGGTCTTGCAGGTGGTTACCAGTGTTTTGGAGGAACAAACCACGCCCTCCTCCTGCTCTGGAGACGGCACATCACTCTGAAACACTGGTAACCATTGATAAGAGACACTTGTGGCCTCCACCTGCAGGGTAAGCCCAGAAGGCCTGGATCCGCTCAAAGGATTTTAAATGTGTACGTGGAAGATGTTTCATTTCAGAACTTATTGTAGAATGTGGTACACGTGTTTGACAAATAATAGTTCCCTCATGAACAGCACTTTTATTAACGCATACCACCAGCAAGTACGTCATGCATAACATAACATTTCCTTCTATACGAAAAAATTAAAAGTCCATGGTCTACACCGGTTGTGGCATGAGAAGCAAATGTCAGCAGACTTTTGTACGCAGAACACTCAGCTCTCATGGTCGTACTTACATTCAGGACTGTCTGCTCAAAGCCAGGTTCTTATTGTCATGGAGAATGCAGATTTTATGTATCGGTTCTGAATGGATTTATATGTTTGATATAACACACATTGGAAATCTGTAGCGTATGAAACACCAATCCAACGCATTATCTCTCCTTCAGTAACAAATCGCAATTTAAAAATAATTCCTGATGTAAATTTTCATTTACAATTTCTCGATACTGAAATAATTGACTTGTACTGACATTTTTATTGACACCACGGCTTTGTCCGCCAACAAATGAAATTGCAAGAGTGTATTTTTTTAAACGGAGATGGCGGAAGCAATATAATCTGGATTCTAGGAGCGACTTCATACATGCAGTAAGTCAGTTGAATGTAACTCTGCTAATTTTGAGTGTAAAATATTTACCGGTAAATTAATTTACTTAACCTGAGGGTAATGTCGCTTGAGGCAAGGCTCGTCCAAGTAAGTGAAAGGGTAAAACTGAAATGATTAAATCTGAGAAGAGTAGTGGGAAACTTTCTTCAATTATTGACTATGACAAATTTAGCGCAACAAAAATACTATGAGTGAGAATTCCATTTCAAATCAAATGTATCGACCCGATATTTATTTTTAATTTAACGAAATACTTCCTTTCCAGTGGTTATTGAAGTTAATTGAAAAACTTGTATCTGTATTTAATTACTGTATGTTTTGTGATATTTGATGAAGTTATAAACGTATAGAAAACATTTAGGATTGTTTCAGGCCACTGCTGGAAAGTAACTTCAGTGATTTGTTGTATTTTTATATAAAAAACTGAATTTCCCTGTTTCAAGTACTGATTAAAGACAATGATGATGATGATGTTAAAAAATAGGTTGTACAAATGGCAGCATAAATTAAGGAACCACGAGAAAGTGTGGGGGGTGATCTGTGCAGAGTCTGCACGAAATTTGGAGAACTTTAAGTAAAGGTAAAATTCAGGGATTAGTTTAAAATATTTGTCACGTGTGTGATCGTACATTTACAGCATCTGGAGAGCTGTGCTGGAAGACTCCAGTCTCCCGCTTCATAGTGTTGGCATCTATAACTCATTCTGTAATCATCTACGAAACATTTGCCTTTTGAGAAGTAGACTAGAGCACTTAGATGTGTGCGTGGTATTCTCGACATACTCACACACATTACCTCTGTAAATGAATATCATGGCGCAGTAACACACTCACCACTCCGTTCTGCTGTTCAAGAGGCCATATTGAAAATGTATTATTTGTGTCTAGTATTATGGTTATTTTGTGGTTATATAGTGAGAGCCCAAAACCATACAACCATTAGCATCTTTGAAAGTGGCATTATTCAGAAACTCATCTGTGAAGGAAGAAACAAGTAGCATGAGGACATTGACTTAAAATGGAACATTCTGTGTAAATTTGGTGCCAGCGTTGGCTGTACTTTTTCATTATAGAAGTTACTTCTTTGATTGGTATTGAGTAGGTTCATGAGCAAAGTGAAATAATGAATAAAACATGATCCTTAAGTAAGGCAACATTTTGTGCTTTATACTGAAAATCAACCTTAATTAAGGGAACATTTTGTGCTTTATACTGAAAATCAGTATAAACCATGATTTCTGTTGATTTTGAGATTAAGTTTCTAAAATCGGTTTAATTAATTGTAAATTTAACTATAACGAATATAATACTTGCTGAAAATGTTACCACAAGCTACTTAAATTGCAATTGGAAACAATGGTGAGTTTCTGATGTATAAAGTGAAACTTTCCTGGGTTACAAGCAGCGTCTCCCGCTTATGTTCCGAGAACAATCTCGAAACGTGGGCAGAAGACGTCGTTTATTCGCCATTCAGACACCTGACTCTGCTTGTAACCTGGGAATCTCTCATCAATGGTGAGTTTGTATAACAGTATCTGTTATAATTCAGGTACACATTTCTGTTCCTAAAAGTATCTGATTATAAAGTAGGGTTATGATACCACCATTATTTGTGAAGACTTCATTTGGTGAGAACCAAATAACCAACAATGTACCTAGGTGCTCCGGCATATAAAATGCCCTTGGTATAGTGGCCTGTATGAGTAAAGAAATAATATTTTGCTTCATAAGGAAGACTTGTATAAATAATTAAATGAAACCATATGTACTATAGTATACAAAGTATGAACTTCTAATTTTTTTTACAGTGTATGAAAGGTTTGTATCATATACAATGTATATGTTATTAAGAGATATGGACTTACAAATTCTTCTAGAATTTGAAGTACCAATTAAAATATTTATACAGAATGTTGTTTTTCGTTATTTTTTTCAGCACTTCTTCTCTTAGAGAACATCGTGGAACCTCTCATATGAACAATAGATCTTAAATGTACCCTCTGTCAGTTTGTCTGGGCTTAGGTTAAATTTTATAGTTTAGTGGGATGCTGAGTGTGACGGACAGGAAGTGAGTCTAAGCCTTTTGATTTAAATAGATAGTATACCACATTCATCTTGCCCATTATTAGTGATGTAATACTTGTGTATAATTACTGCATTTGTTTAAAAGCACAGTGGATGGAGAGCCAAAGATGATGACAAATGTAAAGATGGTAGTGGAGGAGGAGGAGGGGATGAGGTTTGATTCTCACAGTATGAAATGTTATTGAGTTATGTTCATAAGAGTTATGGCACAGTTACAGGAGGGAACTGATCTCATATTTTATTAGTGAGAAACCATAATAATTACAGACCCCAAAGGATTTATTTACTGTAAATTGTTGCTTTACAGTTGTATTCTTATAACACTTCATCTTGTGTGTTCCATCTCTATCGTGCTTCGTGACGCTTTGTTGTGGTGTCCCACAGGTTGTCTTCGCTTCATTTCCATGTTGAAAACTTTTTTAAAATATAACAGGGGCAAAGTGCTCTTGATTTGTGCCAACTATCCAATGAAGATCTTACTTAGTCCTGTGCCATACTGATCATTTATTATTCTGTATTTTCTGATGATTCCAATCATTCTCGTAAACAATGAAGAATTAGGAAAGAAGTGATACTGACAGAGGGACGGGTTAACAGTAAATTGGTTAGCAACAAGCTGGGTGTTGGAATTTGATTTCTACAGTGTATTATGTGCTGCTTCGACCAAATCACTTGCTATGGCTGCACTTGACACAGGTAGGTCAGTGCATGGAATTGTCAGGTAGTATATGATCACTGTTTCTCCATCTTCAGGGTGAAGAGTGTCTTGTTGGTGGGGGCAACAAGCTTGACTAAAACCTTGATAAACTCTGATGTTGCATAGTGCAGCAATTCAAAACACAGCTCTGTGCAAGGCAATGTTTTTGAAACGGGTAGAAAGTGTGAAGGTGCGTGTGCAAATCACCTTGCTCTCCACCCTGCGCTAAGAACTCACAAGTAATCTGGTCCCATCAGTAAATGCTCTGTAATCATCCAGACCAATATGTGATTTGTATTAGAGGGTAAATATGGCCGTCTTCTGGGTTGTGCTGTGTAGTGTGGTGTCAGTGGTCCTTTCCTCCATCATCATTGCGAACAGCAAGGACCTCTGAAAGGTCGGTATAAACTTCCACCAGACTACATGGTGCAACAACCCGGAAGACAGCCATCCTCATACCCACCGCCGTGAAAACATCAAATCTTACCGTATTTTTCTCGTTATCATGATTTCGAATTGCGCGGCTACGGTGTTGTCGACTAATCCACTGTTTGTGACGAAGTATTTATAAGACATCAGATGGCAGTGCGTGTAGAGATAAATGTGTCATCTGTATGGAATAAGAATTGGTACCAACATTTGATTATTGAAATTTTATGGATTTAATAAGGTTTTCATAATTTGTTTTGTAAACACTCGTTATGGTAACATGTAGGAATCAAGAACAGTTTTATTTATTGTGGCAATGAAAGTTACAGGCGCAACTGTAAAATAAATCAGGTGTTTTTACATTCCCATTATGGTAGCATTGATGTTTCGAAAATCAAGGGAAATATTCATTTCATAACTTCCAGGAATTTGTAGACAATGGTGGAAACGTAAAGGTGAAGGTTAGGTGCGATAAACTGAGATTTATCGTGTTAATATTTTACATCTTTCATAGTAACAGCTAGATGATAGATTATTAATTTTATAATGAATTTATCTGCATTTTAAATGTAAATAATAAGTAAGTTGTTTGCAATAACGTGTAATAAAAATAAACGTTGGTTGAACCCATCGATTTTATTGCCTGAAGATGGCGCTAGGTATTAGGAATATGAGGTACAAATATATGATGTTGGTGTGTAATATGAATGATGCGAAAGAAGGAACTAAAGAAGGAGGGTTACATCTCAGTTGCTGCGGAGTAAAAGTTTACCGACATTTCATAGGCTTCACGCTGATGATGGAGGCAGCAGGCACCTCCGAAACGTCGGTAAACTTCTACCAGACTTCACGGAGCAGCAACTGAGAAAGCCAATATCTAAGGAGAACTCGAAATCTAACCACAAGCAAGTAATTTCTCACATCCAGAATATATTACTGTTGAGAAAGAAAGTTGCGTTGTCACCGAACCTAAAGTTGGCGGCAAAACAAATATATTATAAAAATCCTGGCCTTTAATAATCTGTGACTTACTCTTAAGCCAAGTGTAGGGCACCTGATATAGCAATGTAAAAAATTTCCGAATATGCGAGTAACATATAGTAAGTGACGATTCAAATTCCTTTAAAGTTTTTTGAAAAATATTTTAAATGGACACACAATGTTGGAAGAGGTCTGTCCACATGTCTTATTTCAGAAAATACCCAGAAGATTTAAATACAGTGTGGTAGAGGGACAACACTTAAAATTATCAGGAAAAATTAATTTGATATATATTTGTCAATGAAACTCAAATTGAACTTTACTGTTAATTTCTCAAAATTTGTACAAAACAAATATAAAATATGAAGGCTGATGAGGTGTGCAGCATAACAAAGAAAGTAAATGAAAGTATGTACTCCAATACTCGTGCTCACTGAGTGCATTATGTATCTTATCAGAAGTTTGGTAGATAAGTAATTTTATCTGTAGAAATATATCAGTTGTTATTCTGAATCATCATTCTGTTTACAGTGTGCTACATACATTTATTCATTCTTTTCTTCTTGCGTACCATTCTCCCTCCCTGCCACGTATGTACCCACCTACCCGTTGACACTACGTAACCCAACAAAGAATCAGATCACTGGACCAGTTAGCCTATTTTGGACTTTATTTAGTATTTCTAGTCCTAACATCATCGAGGTACAATCTTTCAACGTTACTGTAAAGACATATTCTAAGAAGTAATCTTGGTACAGAGTTAATACATATCTGACTGTTTTTAAATTCCTTGTTCATACAGAAGTCACATTTAGAATAAATTTGACTTGCCATCACACGGATTTTATTGTGAAGGTTCCAGGTTTGAATCTTGAGTCAAACATTATGCATACCAACTGAAATGTTAGGTGGTTTTCCTCAGTTTCTCTGGAAAAATTCTGTGAGTATGTTAGAGTATGCCATAACTGCCTTCTTCGATGTGTTTTGAGATTCATGACCATTTATAATGATCCTGGCTGATAAATAAACAAAGATACATTAATTGGAAGATGTGAATCATTCTGGGCGTATTAAATATATCTACCTTGAACATTTTCTCATAAGCTAATCTTTATTCTAATCTAATCTAATCTAAAACACTGTAAAGAGTTGTTAGTAAATGTCTGCTGCACTCTTCCTGTAGGCTCTGGAGTGACTGTTTGTCGGTCATTGCAATGAACAGGTCCAGCGGTTATGGCTCCCGTGAAGAGGTACGCATGGAAAGTTGTGAGTACCAGAAGTGTGAGGTATTGTTGGGCCAGGCTTCTCGATTTTTTGACGGAAATATTGAAATTAACATTCCTGTGTATTTTTTTAATACCTTGTCTCACAATTTTGACTTTTGAAATGTTAGCAGCAGTAATACCGTTTAATACGAGGCACTGGAATTTTGAGTATTGCTGCATGTGTTTGTGGCTTTTATCCATTAATATTTTGTGAATTGAAGAATGACATATTCTCTTAAAATTTAGTGTTTATATCATGCTGCCAGAGGTCGTGGTACCTCTGCTATTTTAATTTTCTGCAGTGAATTAACTTCTGAAGTGGTAGCAACATTCCTCAATTTTGTGTGGTAGGTTAGAAGTTATATAATATAAGGAAATTCTTTAAACAGATGGGGAAGTTTCTGTTCTGTAATATCTGTAACAGGCCTGTGAAGTCTAAAGACGATGATGACAATGGTGGTAAAGATAAGTTACTTCTGCAGTGAAAGATGCAGAGACCAGACGACAGCCAGTCAGTCGGAGGCCAGACCAACACAGGAGGGGTGAACAGTATGTGGCAGCACAGCACAGGCCCGCTAGCCGAGACCCAGCACAGTACCAGTTTGATCCTCGGAACAATAGAAGCCCCGCTCGCCCCTCTATCAGCCGGTCCCAACCTCAACACAGACCTACCCCATCTCAGGAAGATGTGATTAGAGATCTTCCACTTCAGAACATTGGAGGTAAGAAGTTCTGGCTGTGTATGCCGTTTAAATAGATTTGAGATTCTCATGGCAGTGAAAATGTCAGTGTTGGTGTTCCGGATTGTACATTTTATTACATTATTCATTAACAAAATGTGTGCCACTCTATAAGGATGTGTGGTGGAGTGGAGTATAGGTCATGTGTTCTTAACATTGCCAAAAAATAAGAGGTTGGGTGGGTCATAAAAGGTCAGTCTGGACAACAATCCCTGCTAGGAATAACTTAATAACTGTTAGCAATCCTACTGTATGCTTGGGAGATATCAAAGCTAATCTTGGCTGAGATAACAGCCATTTTCTTAAAGTTGGCCAAAACGTGTTCTTGTCACATTGTTTTGAACGCTTGCTTGTAATGAACACACAACCAATACAAGAGACAAAGTATTGTCAAATAAATATATTAGGAACTGTAATGATATATAATTTGTTTTGTAATACGTAAAGCTTACTCGGTTTTACCGAGTTCTTAGGTAATAGAAAAAATACCAATTCTTCATATTGTAAGGTGAAACTGGTGCCTGTTTGCAGATGTGTCATTTAGGGAAGGAATCTTAAATCAACCACTGCTTTTTCCTGGTGAGAACAAAAGATTGGAGGAACATCACGTGGCACAAATTGTGAACGAGATGGAGCAGGATGTCGCCTTGATGGAGGATAACCCACTGTCGGAGCAGCTGCGCATGTAAGTCTAATATATACATAGAACATACGGTGTCTTGAATGTAACTACAGCAGAGATTTGTGGTTTCCTGTGTGATATGTAAGATGCTGCAGGCTCTGCTGTTCTTTTAAAAAGTAACTCTTGGAAGACAGCAAGGTCAGTTCATAATAGGTAGGAATTTTGACAGATAAACTGATATGGTCTGTGGTTCTTTTCTAGGGAAGCTCTGAGGGAAATGCCAGAATCGTTGACTTTGAAGCGCACAGTAAAGAAGAAACTTGTGAAGTCTGTGAGCCAAAAATCAAAACGCACTCCTCTCAGCATTTGGAAGAGGCTGAAATACAGACTGAGTGTATTGCTGTCAAAAGTAAGTTGTAACTTGTGTGTGGTTTAGTAGCACTCTCTGCGGTACTGGATTGCTGGTAGGTATTTTGCAATTTTAGATTAGTTTTTCTTTCTTCATTCTTACGTGTCTTTCCTCTTGGATGACTCAGGTTTCGTTCCTTTTGCTCCTGTACCCAGGCAACTGGCTCAGGCTCCCAGTTTCCTTTCGAGTGGGTACAAGAGACTCTTTCTCTGGAGGTAAAGCGACTGGTGGTGTGAAGCCAATGACTTACCTGCACTTAATGCTGAGGTTAAGATTGCATGGAGCTTAATTTCACTTGTTTATTGCTGCCTTGTTTTGTTCCTTCATTTATTCCCTTGTTTGTTTGTACCCAATTTCTGACTTTTACTTGCATTAAGCATTACATACAGATCAATGGATTTTGAAAATAAGGCGTGAAGGTTTTTTATGTGGCCAGTACTAGGGTCTGGACCCATTTTGACCATTTCACAATCATCTTAATATCATTTTCTTTTATCTCCATGTGATCAAATTCCAGGATCTTTCAGCTCCAAAATTCTTTGTGCAGTTCTTGTAAGTTGTATGTGATATTAACATTCAATCCATTTAAACCTCTCCCGTTCTCAAGTTTGTGGTGCAGCATCCTACATTGGTCTTGTTTCAGTTCAGCATCATGATTAAAAACCTGCTGTACACCTTCGAGCTATGGTACAGCAGCCTGAAGGTGATTGAGGGGCATTTTGGCAGCGGAGTGGCCACCTACTTCAGGTTCCTTCGATGGCTGTTTCTCCTGAATACAGTTGTGTTCCTCCTAAGGTTCTGACTCACAACTAAACTTGAATCACTGAAGGGTTTTTTTTCTGAATTTTAGAATGGGAGAAAAATCTGTTTTGGTGTTTTATACCTAAAAACTGTTGAATGAATTTTGACAAAATTTTGTATTAGTGATCTACACCAAGAGTTGGGTAATTTTATTTCTGTGTGAATTAATTTCGTATAGCAGCTGTTTTACGCTGGTCTCTAAATGAACATTATCATGTTTATTAAATGAAAAGGGTTTATTGTATAAAAGCTGTCACTTGCCATAACTTATTGCAGTCTATAAATTTTATTTGAAATACCTTTTACACAAGTAACAAAACACAATTAGCAACTTTGAATACTTGTTTATGCCAGAGAAGTGCAATACAAGATGATGAAAAGACCAGAAAAATAAATCTTGATATTTGTATATGTTTCAATGAAATACAGTGGGTAGGTGATTTATCTCTTGGTGATTAGCTTTATCACCAGTATGTATCCATAAGTTTGGCCAGAATACTTTACAGATAAATAAACAAAAATTAATTAATATCCGCAATAAATTAACTTGAAGACCATAGAAAAATGCAAATTCACAAAGTGAGGACAAAAGCTGTCAGTGGCAGAGGAGCTGGAACGTCAGCCATGGTGAATCTAAGCTACGTACATACAACTGTTCCACTGCGGACTGCGTGAAATATTTTAACGCTGTAGGTGCTGTACCTTCCTCTTTTAAGCTTTGTCTGGCGTTATATGAGCCTGGAAGCTAATGAGAATTTCATTATTTTTATTTTGTACAGCCCTAGTTTTCTCCAATGATTTGCTTTCTGCTTTTTCTTTCAGTTTTGGTTTCGTTGTAATTCCTCAGCTACTGCATCGTTTCTATGAGCCTGCAGAAGGAAATCAAAATGGCACAGAAAGTACACCGTCTCAGATGAATTCTGTTATTTTTGACTCTGGCCACTCTGATGGTTTTCTTCAGTTACATGAAGAATATAACTCCACTATACATTTAGGTGAGGGACACTAATTAATTAATTTATTTATTTATTTATTTATGTCAGTAACTAAGATTATATAGTACTGAGTGGTAGAATGAATAATGAATTGGGAAAGCTTACGGAAGGAGCTGGTCATGACCTATTTTAACTAGCATTTGTCTGGTTAGATTGGGAAAAATTTCAGCTGGTATAGCCAATCTCTGGTCTGATATTTGAACCTAGGTCATTCCAAATATGAAGCAGGAGTGCTAATCTCTTGAGTGTGACATTCAGTATGAGGCTGCTTGAAACACAGAACGGTGTTCATGTCGGGTTCCGTAAAAGGTGGGAGATTTCTTGGCCTACTGAGCAGCTACTAGCTTTTTCAGAATCATCTTGAAAAGACAAACCAGATAAATGTTCCTGTTTTTAAGTGATTTTATATTCATTGCTGTGTTCCTCCTGCTGTGAAGGTGTCCTAGTCATCAGCGGAATTCACAGAGTTATTGGCTCATGAACATTAGGTGTGTCTAATCTGTTCAAACTTTGTAGTCACTCCTGTTGCCATCATAGACAACTGGAAGCCGGCTCCTTCAGTCGCCTACCAGTCTCAAGTTCGGAGCAGACCGTACGCGTCAAATGCTGACTTCTCCGTTGGCAATATCTTCACAGGAGAGGTATGACAAGTCACAAAACCAAGAGCTGTAATTCCACTGCATTCGCTGTTCTTAATCAGGAATGTGTTGTTTTGATGTGTCCCTATTGAGCACACTTATGTTGGTATTGCAGATCACCCAGTACTGTCAACATAGTGAAGTTTAGGAGGCTTTCGTTGGCTGGGAATGTAGCTTCAATTGAGAGGACAGAATTTTCTTTGTCAGAACCTCTTAGAAAGTGGTCATTTGAGAGACCAAGTACAAGATGGGAGTGTGGCATTAAGTTTAATCATAGAGGGATAGGCAGATGGAAATGGTGATGAATGTGTCTGGTGGGTGGCAGGCTCCGGTATTCGCGATGTTGAACCCTTGGGTTCTGCCACCAGAGAGTGAGCTGCAAAATGTACGCTGGCTCACAGTGAAAATAGACGCACAATACAAAACAGAAAATAGAACCAGAAACAAGTTTACAGAATGTGTTGAAAATTAAAGTGGTTAAGTGTCCATGATCTTTAGTTGACGTAATATGAAGAAACTTGTCTTGCAGTAGTATGTATCTTCCATATGCAGAGGGCCAAAGCCTGTTTATAATATTACGGTTTGTAATATTGTGTATTTAGTGTTTGCTGTCGCTGCTTCTAGGTGAGATTCAGACCAACTGCTTTTGAGGGAATGTGTCGGTTCTCTACTCTGTCATGTGACCTTTTTCCTTGCAGAGGAGCTGTACATTCATTTGTGTCCCATACGCTGTACTGATTTATCTGTCCTCTCTGCTTTGTGTATCTTCCTTTATTTTGACTCCCCATCTCATCTGTGGTCTCTCCAGTTGTTATCTATTTACATTTTTCAAGTTCTCAATGCAGTCCTGTTTTCAGCATCGAACTCATGTCCACACAACCATGTCCTTGAATTCACCACTTTGTAATGTTTCTACATTAACGTCTTGCCTAATGTCCCGAATTTGTACTTTGGTTCATATTACTCTGCAGAAGTGGCATATCAACTTCTTTTAATCTGCTTACATAAATTAATTTTGTTTCCATATTCTGATGTATAATATGAGAAATGAATGTTGATATTGTTAAACAACTTCAGGAATCTAATCCACACTTTCTCTTACATATGTAGTCTTCATATTGTGGATGAACCAAAAGTAAGTACATCATTTAGTTTGTTGTTTGTTTGTTTTATATATATGTTAACACTGAAACTTTAATGCATTTAATCGCAGATTTTTTTAAATTACTTATGTGAAGGTTCATTCCTGTTTAATTAATCACATCGGTATATATATATATATATATAGTGAAATAAATTATTATGGCTGGAGTGTACTATAGGAATTAGATCTGACCATCATTACACCAGTTTATTTTTATAATTATTATGGTAGTGATAAGGATATAATCAGCTAAGTCTTACAACCTGGCAGACAGGTTCTAACACTGTACTACATCAAAAGTAAGTCAACGTACGATTGAAATAGTCCATACAGTAGGCATTAAAATTAATTTCCCAACTCTGCATTTTGGTTAATATGGTGCATGTGCCTGAATGTGTTACTCGGGTTGATATTGAAAGGGTGAGCACTATTGTTACTTGAGCGCAGCTAGCAGACATGTTGAAGTCTCTGGTCATTTACACATTCTTGTAAAAATTGAAATACAGGTTTGTCTGTTTTGCAGGGTTTCTTCACCGATACAACTTTGTATTATGGCTACTACACTAATGAGTCGGTGAGCGTAGTGTCGGGCCTCACGTACCACATACCCTCTGCATACTTCTTCACTGTGCTGTCTTGCTACCTCTTCATGTTTGTTGTACTTTCCATCAGGTAAACAATGCACGCTGTGTCATTTTGGAAATATTGCTTTCATAGAATTGCTTACAGATATTCACCATGGGAACTTCTCTTTATTTGGCACACTGAAGTTTCTGTTAAATGAAGTAGTTTAACAAAAAAAATGGATACAAAATTTTGTTTGAAGAACTTGTTGTAATCAGATTATTTAGAACATAAATGGGGATGATGTGAATGTAAGGAGAGAAACTTAAATATGTTAGTAGAATGTGAAAAATAATTTGTACCTTTACTTTTATGTAACGGTGGATCGTTGTTTGTTTGTGTTTAAGGGATATGGACCAAACTGCACTATGTCATATATATAATTTACACTGTGGTGAAAATGTAAATTGTAGTCTGGGTTATGAAACCATGTAGCATTGTGTAGATGTTTACCAGTGTTTCAGAGGATGTATTTCCTCTGCCCTGAAGATGGAATGTGATGTGTTCCTTCAGAACATTACTAACCACCAGCATGACTGCGTGGCCAGAAGATCACAGTCCAGAAACTGGACTGGTTAAGTGTGAGGTCTGTCTAATGATGTGGTGATCATTATGATCCTGCAGGTTTCATAATAACAGGATCACCAAATAACTGTTTGAAAGGAGTCGGTTGAATACTGAAGGAACTGCGTGAGGGGTGAAACTGAATATTTTATTAGTGTCTCGGTGATGTTACAGCATGGCTAGATCTTATCGCCGGACATTTATTGAAACTGCCGGGGGCCTAAAGAATGTGGTCACACACAAAGTTTTCTGTGGCTGGGACTTCAGTATTGCTACAGGCGAAGCTGCAGCACTCAAGTCAAAGAGCATTTATAATGAACTGAAGGTAAGGGTGCAGCTCAGTCTTATATCTCTTCTTCCTCACTTCTGCTTTTTGTCCTCCTGCCTTCTTCATTGTCTTCTTCTCTGTCTTATTATTTCCTCTTTCTCCTCATCTTCTACTACTGCTTCCTTTTCCCACTTCCTCCAATCTGATTATTACCGATAACCTGGTCCAGTTGTGTACATCTGTAACAATAGGAACCTTTACTCAGCGACCTGCGAACAAGCACTTTTCTCACAGCTGCACTTTTCCATCGTTGTGATGTGTCTTTATTTTTGCATCTCTTAACATTTTTATTCTCTTCTCTCCTATTTTATTTCGTTTGGGATGTTATCATTCTGTTTTTCTTGTATGTTCATTTCTTAATAGTCCATTACACTTCATATCTTCCCATCTGCCTGTGTTAATGTTCGCAGGAGCTACTGGAAGACATGAAGAAAGAAGATAAAGAGCTGACATGCCAAGGCAAATTCTTCCTTCTCATTGTCCGCATCTTCCTGAATGTGTTTATAGGGTTAGTGCTAGCAAGCACTGGCCTGATCATTTGGTTCCTGTTGCGTGAGGAGATAGGTGTTGACGAGCCCGCAGCTGCAGAGCGCGGCGCTGCCATGCTTATGCCCCTCATCATCACCGTCATCATGATGGCGGCTCCGGTCCTCTTTTCATGGATGGCAAGGTAATGTTCCGCAACAGTGAGTAAGCTACAAGTGTGATGAAATAGATTGATACTTGAAGTGAAAGTAATATACAAAAGTTATTAAGATTTGAGAACACGGGTTATTTCGGTAATTTAGTATGTGGAATGTATGTAGGCATCTGTGATATGAGGTTCTCTTGGCAGTGAAGATTTTGGTTGTAGTCTTCTGGGTTGTGATGCCTGTGGTTCAACTTCAGGGTTGAAGGTGTGGACGGTATGTACCTCCCAGACATTGCTAACCACCTGCATGACCACATGACATCACACACAGAAGACCACGATATAAATAGTCACATTTTATCACAGTCCTCAGAAATGGTTTCTTGTATACTATTTGAAAGCGTGCACATAACATAAAATAGCTATGTGTATTAAATTTATGACTTTTGTTGGAAACGCTGGTTTGATGAACATTTAACAAGAATTTAGGTGAAAGAAATCAAATCAATAAATGTTAATTTGTTGCTTTGTGTTTGTGTAGAGTGGAAGACTATGCCAGTCCTCGCACAGCATTGTTTGTGACCCTGACCAGAACGTTTGTGATGGAGATCGTTGTCATTGGTGTTGTTGTTGCTTTCTGGCTCACATTTAAAAAGAATTCTGAGGTAAGTTCCCTTTCAACCTCATAGTTGATAACATATTACAGCAGTGAGTTCTGGAAACAACTTTTAACACCTGCCTTCCTTTAGTCTGTGTGATGAGGTTAGGAAGACTTGTGCATTAATAATTATAAAATTTATTGATCTGTTTTTGTGCATAATTTCCTCTAGTACAGAGACTGTATTACATTTTTTTGGCATAATATCAAAGGTTTCCTCTATTTCTGACCTTACCATATAAAAATATTCCATTCAGAATATCTAAATTTGCTTACATCTGTCTCCATGCGGAATCTGCCACAGTTCTTTAATTATCACCATCAGACCAAAAACCAAATATAGATTTGTCCTGCTATAATCTTATTGTTTTGCATTCCAAAAAAATCATTTCTGGAAAAAAGTGGCATGTCGTATTTCTCACATACGTTGCAACACCTAATTCTAGAACTATACATTAACTTGTACTTATGCTGAGGATTATGAAAGCTGTAACTTGTTCTGTATCAAGCATTTTACCTTCCATAAAAGATTAATTAAAATTTGGAGGAGTATTTGGGACATCTAGTAAGAATGAGAGTGATGAGAAATGATACAAAACTTTATCAGAAAACCTGAAGTGATGAGACCACTTGAGAGACCTAGGCATAAGTGGTAAGATGATCTTAAAAGAAATATTGTGTGAAGGACTGCATTCATCTGGCTCAGGATATGGACCAGTGATGCGCTCTTATGAACATGGTCGTGTACTTTCAGGTTTTATAGAAGGTAGGGAATGTAGTGACCATCACCTTCTCAAGAAGTACTGTGATTTATGGGGTTAGTTAGGCAGTCTTATTTGCCTTGTTAGTTTGTTGCTGCTTATGTGTTGGGTATGGACTAATGACTAGTTGCATCTAGCCACAAGACACGTTGTTTGATCGGTAATCCACTGAACATGTTATTTCAGTGCTGGGAAACATCTTTGGGCCAGGAGATTTATCGCCTGGTGATTACTGACTTCCTGCTTGCAATTGTGGGCACTTCTTTGGCTGAGTTTGTTCGCTTTCGAATTTACAAGTAAGTGGATAATTACAAAAACCAAAAGTGAAATGTCAGTGTATTTGATCAGTTTATATTAAACTTGCAGGGAATATTCATAAAGACATTTAATAACTTCAAAGGTTGTGGTAGCTATGAAAACAGCCCCCAGCATAGATGAGCGGTGTAATGTGCGTTTGGAATAATAAGACCGACGGTAAAGTTGCGTGCCCTGTAGCTGAACACACATATTAGTTACTCTGCAGTACTTAGAACTTGTGTAAACCTTTCAGCATAACAAATTAACAGCCTGGTGTTGTTGCAGGTCAATGTGGAAGAAGATTGGGGGTCCGGAATTTCACATAGCCCGCAACACACTGAACGTCATCTACAATCAGACACTTTTCTTTGTGGGATTATACTTCAGTCCATTGCTGTCATTTATCATTATTCTAAAGATGTTTATTACATTTTATGTGAAGAAGGTGAGAAACGCTTCGCACTGAAATCCGCAGTAACCTTATGGAAGCTAGCATATGCAGAAAATAATATTCTCTGTAATTTATCACTTTTGTTTCAAAAAATATTGTTAAGTAATCAAAGAATCAATCATATGATTTTATTAATCTACATGTTTCGCAGTTTTTGTGTTTTAGATGGGATGATAGCTTCACTTGAACAAAGTCTATGTTTCTGTTATGATCCTTTAATCCCCTCTGTCCTAAATTTTCACAATTCTCTTATGTTAGTCATTGTTGTCATCCTCTTCTCCCCACCTCCCCCTCCCCTATCATTATCATCATCATCATCATCATACCTAAATACATGACTAGCTTCTCATGCAACTTGTCACTTTAATAGATGATATTCTGAAAGTTTGCACAGATCACGATTCAGATAATTGATGTTCTTTCTGAACTTGCGTGTTTTGTGTCATTTCAGATTGGATTGCTAAACAGCTGCCAGCCATCAGCTAGACCTTGGCGTGCTGCTCAGACACATACACTTTTCCTCGTTCTGTCTTTCATTGCAACTCTGGCAGTGCTCATACTTCTAGGTTACATTATTACACAGTAAGTACTCTGTGTGTAGGACACCACCAGCCTCTTGCAACACAGGTCTCAGGTCCCACACCAAAATTTAGTGGTTGTATTTCACATCACATGACGCCTTTGACAATGTAACACCAGGTCCCTGTTGCATCAGACTGTCAGTTCCCTCTGCCAGGTATAAACTGGAATGAGTAGTGATTATGTAACTAACGTGAAGAAAGTCCTTCTTGGGAAGGTGATAGTTATTTGGTTGGTCAGGTAGTTTTGGAGATGATGTATTTAAACAGACATGACTGGTGATGGATATGATCTCTCCAGCTACAAGACAATATCCACTGCTTTCAGAGTGGAGTCTTCGAGTTGTGGTCCATTCTGTGCCCACAAGTACCCATACGAGATGATCCTCGACATGTTACAGGTGCAAGAAAATAATGGCTTCTTGCAGTTTGTCAGATTCCTGGTTAAACCTGGAGTAATAGGAGGAATCCTGCTGGCGATGTGGTAAGTTCCATCTCTGAAACAGGTAGCAGCTCCATACAATGGCAAGGAATGCATGATTCTGTTTAATACCAGGGCAACCGAGGGGACCTGATGCTCAGCAGGCCAGCCGAGGTTGTCCCTGAAAGATGGCCAAGTCGGCGCAACGAGTGATCTGACTGCTCGGCTACCCTGACTACAGGTTTTCCGTGCCTTTCCTCGGTTGTAAGGCAAATGCCAGGGTATAATTCAAGAGGGGCACAGCCCGCTACCCCCAATCACGGAGGCCATCAGCTAAAGTGATTCCCCCCCCAAAGCCGAATTGGCCCCCACCCTCTCTGGGTTCAAACCCCAGAGAACCAACCAACGAAATTCTTTTTGACAAGTTGCATGACGGGATAACCTCTCATCTGCAGCAACAGACCCTAGTTTGAATGGTCAAGGCTCCCGCCACGACAGAACCCCATTAGCGTAAGCAAATTCCCGCTTTAGTTTTAAGGCTCTGTTTACCATTTCCAGCAGTGCGTTTCGTACACAGGAATGGCGTTACCTAGCAAGGGGTGATGTCTTGCGCTTGCGCAGGACTCCGCCTTTAGTTAGCTTTTTGGTTGGTTGGTTGGTTGGTAATACCTTGCTTTAGCAGGTGATTCATGTTCAAATCAAGAAATTCCCTGTTGTTTATGGGATCTGAAGCTTTCTCAAATTTTCTGTCAATATTTGTTTGCATTTCATACATTATGCTTTGTGTTTGTTTGTATGTTTTCTTACATAACTGTACAGATCGTATGTCATTGAAGTATGCAAAATTTTATTATAGACAACCTGAGAGGAATGCACTAAGCAAATGTATTACTTAATGACCATCTTTGCTGCAGGTCACTGAAATGTATAAAGTTAAAATGGCCTGACCACGTGGCTAGGTTTGAGCAACAAGGCATATATACAGAACTTTTGTTATGAAATTGACGGCTAATATTCAGATTAATCTTAAGGACATGGGTTGTTAGGATGAGAATTAAATGGAACAGGCTAGCATTGTGCCCAGAACTAGGCTTTCATATTAACAGTATTGAAAGATCAGGTTCTTATGCCAGACAGATTTTAGGTTAGATGTCTCACTTCTAGGATGTTGCACCATGTACTCTTGCTAAAATTGATCAATGTTTCAGAGGTCCTTAACTGCCTCCATCAACAGGGTGATAGTAATTTACTCAGATAATTGGATGGAATTAAGTGAGTGATTTCTGTGTTTTAGTGTTGGTGTGTACTTCTTGCGTGCAAAATCATACGAACATAGGGACATGGTGCTTCTGCTCAAAGAGATGCTGGTTCTAGAAGCAAAGGACAAGGAATTCTTGTTGGACAACATCTCCAAGGTCACTAATGGCCGTGAGTATCCGACCAATCTACAAGGAACTGCATGTAATTCATTGCTTATTGGCAACTGAGTGTGTCACCCAGAACAGTACTAAACCCTGGAAATCATTTTATAGAAGTGTTCTAGAAAGTCTGTTATTATTACGTATTTATCATGAAGAAGCTGTCAGGTTGTTCTGCTGTATTGTTTGTTGACTTCTGGCCTCTACCGATGGATGTCCCAGGTTTCTGTCACTGTGGTAAATCAGTTTATTTCTTGATTTACCTGTCTATGCCTAGGTCTCCCTGGTGGCCTCTTCCCATCTAGTTTGTTAACTGAATTTTGAATTATGTATTGAAATCATCACAGTGATACATGTTCATTCATTCTCCCCTTTCATCTGCTTTGCAGGATGGGATTTTAACTTGAGGACTGACAGGAGTTTGGGTGCTAAGTGGAACTTACAAAAACAGGTAATGCTCAAAGGAAACCTGTATTTTATGTTCTTCAGTTTAATGTTAAGTTTCGGTACTCTCATCCCCATTGTAATTCCAGTTTGTTTTTTTCCCATAAAATAAAATCCTCAAAGAATTCTGTATTGCGGCACTCATATTTCTGTTATCTTCTGTGTGAATGAGATGACCTGAAGTTCTCCGCCCTTTCACAGATTTGGCTGAAGCCATTTTTGGTGTTACAGATGTCTAGTCTTGCCTTCTCTGCATATTGTTTTCTGAAGGGATGCTTGTGGAAGTCTGTCAGTGTCCATTTTCTTACGATGGTTTAACATTTTAAGCCAACGTTTCTTAAGGAAAATGAAACAAGTTTATGAGATTACCACATTGTGTGTGTGTTTGTTCCCTCTCAGCTTTTGAACCAGTTTACAGATATTACCATATCATTGCACTTCTTTATTAAAAAAAATAGAGTGTGAGGGTATG